ATATCTCAATATTTTTCAAAGTATGTATTATCCATTTTTCCCTGGAACCTATTTGCAAGTGAATATATTTGTCTGAGCATTTGACCCAGTTCACATCCCTGATGTGAATCAGACCCTGAGCTGTTTGTATTCAGATCACTAAAGTAAATGCGGAATTCAATTCATGCAGCCAAAAACATTTCAATTGAATTGACTTAATCTGACCCAATAGCAATAGAAACCGGTAATAACAGCACCTGTTGAGTAGTGGGAAAAGTTTGTTCATTATTTGACTGGATTGTGCCCAAGAAAATTCTGCCACCTTATGCCACCTCTTAAGCAACAGTGTCAGCAGCTGCTGAGAAAATCCTGGCAGCTATTTTTGGGATTTGGAAAAAAGAGATTATTAAAGATTCTGTTAATGCTTTTAAGTACCAGAATAGATAAAATGGGAACAAAATAAATCAATTGGAAGATTGTGAGAAATCACTGGATCTTCATATCTTCACACTGGATCTTCACATTTATAAGTGATTTATTAAAAGTAGTTAAGACTCTTAGAATAAAATAGTGTCTTTTGAATCTCATTCTTGCTGGGCTAATCTATGTGACATGAGGTAGGTTTGTTTGTTTGTTTGATTTGTTTGTTTGTTTGTCAAGAACGTATTAGGTAATAAGTATAAGCATGGATTGAATACATAAAATAGATATGAATAGAGGAAACATTAGGACAGGGACAGTAGGCATGCTGGTGCTGTTATGCACGCCCCTTACAGACCTCTTAGGAATGGGGTGAGGTCAACAGTAGACAGGTTAAAATTTTGGGGGTTTGGGAATGAAACCAGAGCGTCAGGTAGTGTATTCCAGGCATTGACCATTCTCTTGCTGAAGTCATATTTTCTGCAATCGAGTTTGGAGCGGTTCACTTTAAGTTTGTATCTATTGTGTGCTCGTGTATTGTTGTGGTTGAAGCTGAAGTAGTCATTGACAGGTTAAGGACATTGTAGCAGATAATTTTATGAGCTACACTTACGTCATTCCGAAGGCGGTGTAGTTCTAAGTTTTCCAAGACCAGAATTTCAAGGCTGGTGGCATAAGGTATTTTGTTGCGAGCAGAGGAGTGGAGAAATATTATGAAATATTTCTGGACACGTTCAATTGTATTAATTAATTGTATTAATGTAAAGTATTAATTAACTTCCTGAAGGAAGTTGAAAAGCATCAACTGTGCTGGAAGAAGCTAGATAATGGGAGTGCTGGGTTCTTCTTTTTGTAAAAACCTGGCCATTTATCATGAGGTTCCTCAGATCTGCCATAATAATGAACATTTCCACATGACCTACTCTATGTGGTAATCAGATAAGTAGATAAAATGCCTTGTTATGTTTTTCTATTATTCTGCTGAGGAAATACAACACAGAAAAATGTTAAAGCAAGAAATATTGCTCAAGGGAAGAATCTTGAATAGTTCATTGGTTTTCCCAACACATTTGTTTTGAAATTATCAAAAAGGATTCAGAAATCATTCATAATTAGGTCGAACCCAAAAAAGCTCTAAAGTAAGTAAGAGGCTATCCCCCCTCTTTTTCCCCCTATGCCTTTGTTATTATTTATGTTCAAGCTATAATATTTCTTTCTTTTGAGGGCTTAATTATAGTTTTTATTGATTTTTCTGTGAATCTATTTACAGGCAGGGCGAGACAAGATTTTAACAGCGGATTGGGCCTCTTAATTCAAGGACATTTTTCCAACAATAGCATACTCTGCTCAGACTGAATTGAGGTAATGTCATTTTTCTGGTAATAATAGATTTATATAATTGATGTTCTTGGTTTTCTTCAAAATAGATAAGAATCAGCAACTGTAGATGAGTTGAATACAGAGAAAACCTTGACAATTTCTGAAGTGGGTTTTGATATCATTTGGGTTTCTGCAAAGCTCTATTGATTGATATAATGCATTCAGCTACGTGATATTAATGGTGTACTTTCTTTTTCTTTAAATTTATGTTGAGGTAGACGCAAGGATTTTCTCAACCTCCTTTTCTTTTTAATTTGGTTTAGAGTCCCTTGTCCTCATTGGAAAATTCTAAAAATATCATTGTATTACAGATGATCATGGGGCTGATGATCATCTGATGATGTTACCTAGTGGGGTAATGAAACTTCTGCAGCCAAGCTCAGAGTATACCAAGGACTTCAGACATAAAAGATTATATTGGCTGATAATAGGTTTCATGCATAAATTACCAAATATGTTTTCTCTTATGCCATTAGTATGTGAGACTGAAATTCAATATATTCAATAAACTGGAGTAAATTGGACTTGACGCCACTTGATCACAGTAATAATTTGGAAAAGTAAAGAATTAAGTTATGTTTTCAATACAATACATTTCAATACAATACAAAATGAATTTTGAGGAACCCTTCTCAACTGATAAATTTAACCTTATTCTCTCTTTTGATGGAAATAAAAGACTAAATTTAGATTTTAGACTTAGTTAGTTTCTGTTAGTCCACTTTTAGTCTTAGTTGTCTAAAATTTCCTAGAGCCGTGATGGCAAACCTATGGCACAGACCCTCTCTGTGGGCACGTGCATCGTCACTAGCTGCTCTTCTGGTTTCCATGCACGCTGGCCAGCTGGTCTTCATGGGCACTGGAGTGCCGGAAAATGGCCGGAAAACGGCCCAAAAAACAGGCCAGTTTTTTGGCTGCTTTTGGGCCAAAAATGGCCTGAGAACAGCCCAAAACCCAGCCAAAACCAGCCAAAAAACAGATATGCACATGCCGACCAGCTGGTCTTCAGGTTTCCAGCGCCCTGATGCACACACATGGACATGCATGCACACATGTTCTGGTTTGGGCACTCAGTGCCGAAAAGGTTTGCCATCACTGCCCTAGAGTATTTGGCAGTGGTGAAATCCAATTTTTTTTACTACTGGTTCTGTCGGCATGGCTTGGTGGGGATGGTGTGGCTTAGTGGGCATGGCTTAGTGGGCATGGCAGGGGAAGGATACTACAAAATCTTCATTTCCACCCCACTCCAGGGGAAGGATACTGCAAAATCCCCATTCCCTCCCCACTCTGAGGCCAGCCAGAGTTGGTATTTGCCAGTTCTCTGAACTACTCAAAATTTCCGCTATCGGTTCTCTAGAATCTGTCAGAACCTGCTGGATTTCATCCCTGGTATTTGGGTAAGATACATGCAATTAATATGAATATAACTTCGTGGCTGATTTAGAGTCTGACGGATTTCCCCATAATTATTTCATATTATTATTTTAAACAAATATACAAAATACTGAATACATTTATTTGACAAAAATATCCTGCAAGATTTTCGTTGCAGAAAGTATGATTGCCAGTTTAGGGTTTAACTTTTATGCTTCCATATTTATCATAGGGCACTGATCTTAGCTGACTGAACTGAAGAACTTCAAAATTCAGCTCCTCTTGGAGTTTCTTTTGAGGTTTATAATTTGACCCCATTGAAGTCCTGGCAAATACTGGGATTCCTGTTTGTTCAGGGAATCAGTGTTCATAGTTGTAATTAATGCTAGAAGAGATATACAGAAAAGATGTAAATTTGACTCATACTGTATATCCATGGGAAGCTTACATGCTAAGATAACTGTAAATTAAAAAAAGCATATAAATCTATTTCAGGTAAGCTTGGCTTTTTGTGATATAACTACTTGGGATCTATTGTTTGATTGACTTCAGAGTATTCATCTTCAGTATTTGTTATTAGGTTTATTTCAATCCAATCAGAATTTCTGTTTTTAAAGCTTCACAACATTTAGAAAGAATTATCAGCAGTTCTGAAGGAATTATTTGTACCTTCTGAGACAGTCATTTAATTTTATTTCAATTTGAAATTTTGAGATAATAAAATAATGACCATTGAAATGATATACTTGAATGGCTTATTCTGCTAATTCAGTGGAAGACTGAAATTAATTTTCTATTTTTTTAAAAAATGAGTTTTAAAGAAAAAAACCCCACACCTGCTTTTTTGTATACTAGACACTTCAAAGAATTGCAATAAACCTTCTATGGGATATGTAATTTTAGAGTTGAAATGTTAATCTACCCAGCTTGGTCTTATTCCATTATTATTGCATTTGAGGCAGACTCAAATGATTCTGGATAAATAGCTATATATTCAAGATGCATATGTTCTTCTTAGCTAAATTGTTGGGCAAATTTTGAATCTATTAATATTGCTATTCAGCTAAAAATATTATACTTGACACAAAAATATTGCAAAAATAAAACTATATGTGTTTGTGGTCATAACTTTTGAAAAAAAATGGTGACTTTTTTTTGTTCTGTTTAAAACAATCTCAATGTCTTTCTTAAAATTTCCTACATTTTATTACTATGCTTATAAATTTTGTCATTGTGCTGCTGTTTTAATGATGTGTATATTTTAACTTTACTAGCTTGTAGAATAAAAACTTAAAAAAATAATTTATGTTATTCTGAAGTATGGGTAATTGGTAGGTTAATAAATATTGAATTTTGAGACAGTTTCATGTTGATTCCCAGGAAAGATTGTGAGCAAATCTAAGTGCACATACCCTCACATTTGGAGGTATATAAATTCTATAATATCCTAAACTATATATCACATGCAATATAATCTAGAATAACAGCATCTCTTTTGATTTATAAAGAAAATTGAACTTTTCACCTTAGCAAAAATATATGTATGCAATTTACTATTTCAGGCAAGTAATTTTCAAAATAAAAAAGATGGTATATTTATGCCTTACGAATATTACTTTAAAAATAGTATGTAAGCTTTAAATCTTCCAGGTGTGGCAACGCATGGCAAAAATGGGTAAATATAAATGTAAACACCCCCCCCCCCTGAAAATTGCAAGAATGAGGCTTTTTAAGTGAATCCAGCCCTGGAAAAAATATTAAGCAGTGGAACTTTAAACCATTAGAATTGCCCCACTTATACATACTCCAAAGATCTCCAAAACTAAATAAATATAGCATTTGATCTCAGTTATATTTTGATGGCCAAAGTTCCCTGGTTTGTTTATTTCATGGCATCATTTTAAGGGTGTAATTCACCTTGATAAATACATGGATGCACCACAGGATTTTCATCTAAATGAAATAAAATAAAATAAAAATCATTTATCAGAAGCTTTCTTGAAACTACATGGAGACAAATAATTTCTAACTTATTCAGCTGACTTTAAATCATTCTTGTAACAGACTCAATGAATAGCTGTGAAGCACAAAAGAAAATCTGACAGATAGCTCTGCAATACGCTACCACCGAAGTTCAAAATGAAATCCCAACCAGTATGAAGAAAGGGGGGAAAACAGCTTTACAAAATAGCTCAGCAAAGTATTACTCTATGGCATTACATTGTTAATAAAATTTCTTTATCTGAAACTATAATTTAATATTCATGTATCTAATGTACAAGTGACAAAGTAATGTACTCTAAAATTAGAGCGTAACCAGCAAAATACTGTAAACAATACGAGAAAAAGCACAACCCAAACATTGCTTAGTAATTCAAAATATGCAACTTTTAACTGGGAAATTATTTTAGTTGTTGATGTCAATTGACACATGGGTGTAATTATAGCCTGGAAAAAAAATTAAAGTGGACATTGTTTTTTTGTTGTTATTACTGTTGTGGAAGGAGTCTTGTGTATATACATAAAGTTCAAGCATATACTACTGCAGTTTACTGATTTAGTTGGTATAAACGCTTGACATTTATAATTAAAGTCTACTTATTGATTTGTCTTTTGGTCAACTAAAATGCATTTTTTCCAATATTTTGATGCTTAACAGTGAAAAAATGCACTTAATCTAAAATTACAATTGAATATTAGACTGCAGGTCCCTTCTCCAAATATTAGCGGCCTATGAAAGTGTGCATTATCCTGAAATCAAAAAGTTATGTGCATACTAAATAAAACAGAGCAACTACATACTGAACAAACAGTGAATCGTAACAAAATCAACATGCACTAATTCTACTCTTATGCAAAATTAATATCTTTCAGAAAACTGCATCCAACCTTTGGCCTTGCGCAAAGGTATACGTTTTGTTCCTTCATCAGACATGGATTTGTGTATTCAAATCCCAGTTTTTTTAGCCCATTGTCACAAAATGTGCTGTTCCGCTGCTATAAACTTTGGCTGCCCTCAGACTCCCAAAGAATCTGTTTTTTTTACAGTCAGCTTTAAATGTGGTTGTAGTGATCCTCATACAAGTCCTATTCTTCATTCCTTATTCATCGTCTTCTACTTCCTGTGGTAAAATGGGTGTTTCTTCCTTTAAACAAGCACTAAAAAAGTTGAGAATTGTGCTATAAAGGTGATATTTACTCTTCTCTGATGTAATGTAATGACCTTCATCTGGATAGATCTAGGGTAGGAAAAATAGAAATAAATAGATTTTAAAAACCAGTTGACAAGTTTTCAAATGCATTTGTAGCATCACAGAATGAATGCCTGAGACAATTATTGTGGTTTCACTGAAAACATCTAAATTTCAAAAGTGAAATATATTTATGTTATAATTTAAACCAGGAGTTTAATTTTCCCAAGGGGCAAGGTGAGAAATGGGACTATTATGGAGGGCCAAACCAATGTACCTGACTTTATGTCCTTAAACTCATCACCAGAACTCCTTAGTTGCTCCAAGGCAAGGTATGAGAGTTTGCAGATGTAGAAAATGATTTCTCTTCTCACCTTTCCAAATGAAGGAGTGTGCCGTGATTGAGCAGAACCAGACCAAACTTGGCTTTTTCACCCACCCCCCACGGCACACTTACTTACACTTGATTTCTAATTTCCGGTTGATCTCATGTGGACTGGAGAGGGATAGCCAAAGGATGGATGTGATCTTGGGGTTGTAAAATACCCAGATCTAATTTAAACCATCATTTTACAGCCTGCACAAAACATTTCTAGCTTTTAAGATTTTAAAAATGTTTTTGTTTAAAATGGCAATCCTTATTTAATTTTTCAAGATTTAAGGGAAATAGTTTGTTTCAAACATTGGTAAAAAATAAGCTTATGTTGTAATCCATGGAAAAACACCACTGTGTCTCTAAATATTAAAAACATGATGCCAAATAATTAAAATTTTCAAACAGCAATGGGTCTTCAGCTGAAATACAATTTGATTTCAGGAAACTCTGATTTTTCACAAATCAGTATACAATTCTACTGCTGCATCTGCGGCAAATGTAGAGATTTTGCAAGCAATAGACAACTACTGTACGTTGCTTTCACTGTTCAGTTTAACATTTTAGCCTCTCTGTACTACATTATCATCAGAAGTCCATTAGTACAATAAACATTTCTCATTATATTCTGTTTAATGCTATGAAGGCAAATATTTCAAGTTTTAAAAGTATGGTTATTTCAATATTAATTGTGGTAAAAACTAAATATTATGTATTTTATAATTTATATTCTGCTCTTACTTAAATTATTCTGCTCTTGCTTAAATTATTATTTTTCCTTTCTCTTTTATTGGATCTATTTTGAGTAAAATAATTCTCAAAGATATTTAAGTTATAGATAGCTAGGAATATATAGATAACCAGCCAGGCTTTCTGGACAAAGATGTATTTTAAATACATGCAACAAAGAGCATAAGAAATCTAAACCTAAAAAGATGCATAAGCTATGGCATTCCTAAATATTACATACCTGCATAGTATAATTCACTCCGGCTTTTATTAGGTGTTTAATTAATTCTGCTGAGTGCTGAAAATGGACTTTAGCTGTGGGACAACAACATCCAAGTGTTAGTGAAAGACATTATTAATATCAAACAGTTCCTGCAGATTAGCTCAACATAGTCAAGATTTTAATGAAAATGCTTTTTCGGTTAAAGTATAAGATCATACTCTTTCCTACAAATTTTACATTTTTTATTTTATAAGAAAAGTATAGCAGAGTGACTATATACACTGTACATCTCATAAACTCATTTCTCCTCATTTACATTGTGTATCCCTTTGGGGAGTTTAGTTGACTGACAACTCAGTTAATGGATTTGTCAGGTACTTTAGACAGTCTGCAATGCAATCATGTCCATTTTTGTTATGAACTAAAACCTTCTAAATTTGACAGGACTTATTCCCAGATATGTACTGTATTTACATGGCACACCTAATTCAAACTGCAAGTAAGATAGCTGTACTTCAACCACATAGCTATTCTGATATCATGTGTATAAAACATTCTGAAGAATATTGTATACCACAGGTATTATTTCTTAAATATTGGTAAGGTTCAGAACATTGTTGAGCGTGTAAGTGCTGACATAGGTAACTACAATAAATATAAGTTGGTTCTGAATCCTGAAGTGTAACCTAATTATTAAACTAATCTTCCCTTTTATTGTAATGTTATCACATTTCTACCACATTCTGAAATGTTGTTTTGGAAACACTATGAAACATTGTAAACATGTACTTTACAATGATACAGAGAGAGGTTGTCCAACCTTTTGTCTTGCCTGCGCTGTGTCAAGTGACTTGGGCCACATATAAAACATGCAATATAGTTAATGTGTATCAATAACAAACGTCCTCTATTTTTAATATTTTTATTATCATGTGGACCTGGACATTACTAGCTGTCCAGGGCTACATGCAGCCCATGGGTCACAGGTTGGACATGCCTGATATAGAGGAAGGCAGAAACTGCATTTAATAGTCCACTCCAGATAAACTGATTTTATTTTTCCTTAAGTGTATATTTTTAAATATGGTTTTGATCCAATGAACTTCAGTTTAATGAATGAGCCATGGTAGCGCAGTGGTTAGAGTGCAGTACTGCAAGCTACCTTTGCTGACTGCTGGCTGCCTGCAATTTGGCAGTTCAAATCTCACCAGGCTCAAGGTTGACTCAGCCTTCCATCCTTCCGAGGTGGGTAAAATGAGGATCCAGATTGTTGGGGGCAATATACTGATTCTGTAAACCACTTAGAGAGGGCTGTAAAGCACTGTAAAGTGGTATATAAGTGTTATTGCTATTGCTAATGAATAGATTCCCAAGAATGTCTAGTTCTGTTTGAAGGGGGTTTTAGCTACTCATTAGAAGCATATAGAAACATACAAAATCTATCACACAGGAATGAGTGAGTGGCAATACAGCTTTACCAGGCCCAGTATTAATATTATTTTAATTATTTTGCATCTAAACGATGACAGAAAGGGGAAGACTTGGAAGCAAGGTGGGGATGAGTCTTCAAGTTTGACCAAGAAGGACAATAGGAGGCCTTTGCCCAAACCAGAGCTTGAGCAGGATAAGATCTCCGACTTTACAAACATTTTCCCAGTCCCATTTTCCCCTACTGCCTCATTATCTTCTCTCATCTCCAGAGCACAAGCTGCTGATACTGTTGCTGGAAAAAATGGGGATTAAAAACTTCCCCTTTTACTTTTCATGTAGTGACAAGATTTTTTAGTGCCTGAAGATAGTTGTACTAATGCAAAGTATCTATTGGTATAATCCACAGCTTTGCTTAACATTTAATCTGAATGTCAGGTAATGTATTTAATAAAACTGAAATACTTCCTGTATGCTGAAAGCTCAGAGACGACTACAGCTGAATGATAATGAAAGCATGTATTTAGCATGAAAATGATGAATTTAGAAAATTTATAATCAAAGACTTCCTCCTTCCCTCCCTCCCTCCCTTCTTCCCTCCCTCCCTTCATATTTAATTTGTAATTTCCAATTTCCCTCTTAGGGAAGTAGTTTGAGAAACTAAGATATCTTTGTGCATTGGTAAAATGCAGTGGATATATTTGTCTTATCTATCCTCTATGATATTAGGGAAAAAAATATTGTGAATTTTTGTTTTGTTTCTCAACTATGGACTTCTATAAATGAAAAACTCTGGATAGGCTGCTATTTTCTACATTTATGCTATATTCAACAATTTCCAAATGTATTGTACACTTTTCAACTCTCCTGCCTGGAATGCCTAAGCATTTGTTTACTTCGGACAGTACCTGGTATCTACCTGGTAAAGCAGCCACATTGGCCGCACAAAAAAAAAAAAAAAAATCTAGTATGCAGAAATGCAGAAAAGCTCACTTCAAAGCTACAGCCAGGTAGCCTCATCAAATGCCTTGGAAGAATCTCACCCATTCGTATATTATTTATATTTCTTATGCTAAGTATTAAATTTAATCCATTTCACATACTGTGTTTCTGTTGCAATCTCCCCTTATGAAGAAAGAATGCCTGAAGCACGAATACAAAGAAAACATATAGAAGTGGGAGACAATGATCCTTTGATGACTCCCTCCCACAGAATTCATGTGTCAGATATGGAAAGCTCAATCTTACCATTGTGTAATGGGCACACAAGCTGCAAAAGGTAATGAATATGACCACAAAGCTAGGCAGCCCAAAGGATAAGAGCAAAGAGAGGAAACAGTAACATAGAGGTGACGTGCAAAGATTTATTTTATAAACAGTCTCACAGGGTTGAACGAAGCCATGAAAAAAAAAATAGCCTATCTTAATTAGGAAATTTCAGTAATCTAGCTATAAAAGTATCAAGAAGGTCAATTTGGTACTACAGATTGTATATCTTTGTTCCACCTTACACAATTTGCCAGTGGCAGAGCAGGAATAATTTAAGTGATTATTAAATTTTGATGTTCAACAGTTATTAATGCATGTTGCCTGCCAACAAAGGTACTGCATTCCATAAAGTTTAAACGAATTGTTCCCTACAGCTACAAAGAGTTATAAAAGAGTAGTGTCACTTGTTTGGCTAGGAAACTATCAATGGAGTCTCACAATGGGATCTCTAAGGGTAGACAAAACCAAGTCTTATAAAGCTCTCATGTTCTTCATGCTTATCCTTCACTGAACTTCTGCAGAAGACAAACAGCAACTAGGAAAGTGCATTTGTGTAAATACTCACTATCCGCTGTCCCATGGATGATTAACAAATTTCCTTCCTTAAAGCCATGAATATTGTGCAATACGCTGGATGCCTTTTGAAAAGGAGAAAACATGCACATCTGTGATTGATTTGCATTTCGAATACCTCCAGCACCCCATCCAAAACCATAGTATCTCTTAACTCACTTGGTAAGCATTTTCTTCCTTAGATGGATTGCCCAGATATCTTTCTGAAAAGGCAGATGCTGTACATAGGAAATAGGAAAACTTAATAGCTATTAAATTACTTTTGGAGGAACGTACTAACATTTATGGCCAATTATATTTAAGCTCTGCTATGGAACCCAGTGGAGATGAGATGTAGACTATCCTCAGCAGAAAACAAAATCTCCCGGCTCATCATCCAGCATGATCCCATTTGAAGCCTCCTGAATGACATCCATCCCATCAGCAGGCAAAGCGGGGAGCAACATGCAGACATCTTGATTACTTCTGGCTCTGAGGTTTCTGTTATGGGGCAGCCATTGCTATGTGATGTGGAAAAGTGGAAAAGTGCTAATGGCACCACCTGTTTTAAATGCAGATTTATTTATATATGCTAAACCTGATTGTGCTTTTTTTTTTTTTTAGTAGGCGCCTTCTGAGCATTTGTAATATTATATAAGTGTCTCGGCTGCAATTAAGAAAGGGAAAACGAGCTACCTGTGGAACAAACTGAATGATACAACCCACTCACCATACAGTCGCATGTCTGTAATTGGTGCAATTACAGCTCCACACTTGAAAAGTTTTTCGTTGGACTTCAGAATCATTGATGCAAGGTAACCTCCATAACCCTAGGAAACAACTGATGTGAGTTATAATGTGCTCATTATTGCCTTGATGAGACTATTCTTTCTTATGCATGCCCCCACTTTTATATTTATTTCTTTGGTTTCTCTTACGCTTCTGAGGACATAAATCAAAAGTTATTTCTTTAAAAAAAATGGCAGAGGATGTTTTGCTTCAGCATATAGTTTGAAGAAGGTCCAATGATATCCCACATGTTACTGAAATGCTTGTACGCCATTATTAAATATACACAAGATGAATTACTGGAGTTCTTTAGCCATTTTTATTAATGTAGAGTACTAAAAGCTGCTGTTGATCAATCATGTTTATTTATTTTATACAATCAGAAGTGGCCATACAGCCCTGAGTTTAATTCCAAAACCGGAAAGTGGAAATGGGAAAAAAAAATCCATTGAAAAAGTATTGACCTCATTCTTGTTTTCCTCCTTCGCAGTATTAATATATCACCACAGATATGAGTGTTACTGATTCAGTAATCACATGCTCTTGTTTTTAATTCAGAGAACTATGATGCTATTGGATTGCTAAAGTTGCATATAGATATTCAGAGCAGGATTTGCTAATCTAACCTTAAATATGACTAGGACAATCAATTTAATTAGGGACAGAAACATTTTTGTCTGACTCGGAACATTTCAGACTGAGTGAAGGTGGCAGTTCAAATACATATGAGAATGCTCCTCTGTTTGTTAAAATCATACTTGTAGAAAATGAGCATATACTTAAAAGTTATAGATCCTTTTTACTTACTTACACCATTCTCAGAGCAAAAACTTTTAGAGAAATAATACAATTATCTATATTGGTGTAAATACAGAACGTTACAAGATTGCTATAGATAAATGTTTCTGAACAGTCAGTGGGGTATCAAGAAAGTAAATAATTAGTTTCCCATTAGCAAATTAGTTGTGATAATAAGATATATAAATATAAAATATACATCAAGTTTGCCAATTCTAGTATCTGTCTAAAAATGTAAAATATATTTTATTTTATTTTAAAGAATTAGTGTTTTGTAAAATACCCAACACTGTATATTTCGTATATTAATTCATAGCTGAATATTTTATATAATGTATGCTTTCATTTCTTGTCGTTTTTCAACTATAGATGTTCAGTTAAATATAAGCATGGGACAGATTTAATAATTTTTATATTTACAATAAATTTATTAATATAAATAAATTATAAAAGAAATTATAAATAACATTTTAAAATTGATATGGCTATGCCAGAAGTAGTTTTCTCAGAAAATAGATGTCATCTTTTTTCTTCTTCCATTCCTGCTAAAAATAATAGTAGTTTTAACAGTAATTGTGTGAGATGGAATTGGAGAAGTGTTTTTATTTGTTTGTTTATTTATTCATTTAAATTTATATGCTGCTCAACTCACTGAAAGAACAATTCTTCCTTCCTCACTCTAAGTTACCTGTATAAATATTCAATTAAATTAAATTCACTTAAATATTTAGTGCACTTTAGAGCAGGGATTAGCAAATGAGAAAAATGCATTAGATTACTATGGATGTCTATGATTCTAACTACATTATTTATGTCACATTTCTAATACAGTTATTTTATACATGTATCTGCTTTCCGTTATGGCCAACTGATTAAAAAGCATTATTTCTACTGATACGTTAAAGACAGCTGCAATGCACCGTCTACCGAGCCTTTGTAACATCTTGCCTGATGAAGAGTTTTGGACAAAAGCTTGCATTCTGTTTTATATCATGTTGATTTTAGAAAAGTATTACTTCCCTATGGATTTTGGAATTTTCCCAAGGAACAGCAATGAGACTTAGTGTTGAATATATACTATAAAGAATATATTCAATATTAAGGCATGTCTTAATTGAAATTGTCACACATTTGGAAATGTACTCCAATCCATTAGTAATAACTGAAGATTACTGCTGAATATTGGAATTAATATATATATATATATATTAAACTGAATGGTATGACTTCCTTTATGCCTGGGCTGGGAGGAGAACTGGAGACAGGTGGGAGGTGGGAGGTGAGAAGAAGGAACAAGAACAGAGTTGCATTCATTGTTGTAAATAAGAAAGACATAAAGAGTAGATGAGTTCAAATTTTTCTCCCTCTTACAACCGAAAGAAGCAAACATCAGCATCTGAAAACTTAGTGGTGAAGGTTGAGAAACTGAGATCCACTGACATGGCAGTAAAAATATTTTTGCTAAAGCTTGTCTGACTCATCTATTTATGCCAGAGGCAACAGAATACAACAAGTGAGAGACTAACTAAGGATATCATATGCAGATGGTAGGAAAGGAGGTTACTTAGAGCACATTGGGCTGTAAGTGACTATGCATGTAAAATATGAATTAAATAGGTAATTTAATAGCAAACTACTGCTACATTTTTCCAAACCATTAATTTTGTACAAGAATACCAAAGCAAGGGTAATTGACAAATCCTCTGTATTGGGGCTATAAAAGTGTGATTTTGGGTGCACATAGGTACACATAGAATCTCTATGGGGAGCCCTTAAGCACCTCAATTCTAACAATTGTTTGTGGAGGTTGGCTGATCCTGGGAAAAGGTGCAGCAATTTTAAGGTAACCCTGAGAAGTGCTACATATTAATAGGTACACAGTCCAAACAGCATTTGCTCTTTGAATCTGCGCTAGATACCAGGAGTTATATATTGTGGGCTTCTACATATTTTTAATACTTGTAAGCATTGTCAACAAAATTTGGCTGGAATATTTTGTTTGTATTCATTTATTTATGATATATCTGGCTGTATGACATGCATATGAATCTGGGTAGCATCACAGCCTAAGAACACAATAAAATATAAAACAATACAAAACAAAGCCTTCAAGTAGTTCTCAGTTTAAATGGCAATTGAAACTGGAAACTGCTATTGTTAATGAATGGTTGTAGCCCAAGAACTACCTGTAATAGACAGGGAGAGGGGAACCATCAAAACACACAACTTAACTCCACTGTACCCACCATTAAAGGGAACTCTCTCAATCCATTTAGCTTTAGGCCTGGGGACACAACCAATTTTTCAGAGATTGCTTGGAAGAAGGCAAGGTGAATGATATATAGGTCTCTGGACAGATGCCACAATATTGAAGTCCATTTCAATAGTGCTATTTAACTGATGGGATCAGGAAGAGGCAGACACTAAAGAAAAAAGATAGTTCCTCAGGTAACTAAACCCTCTGACATGTAGGGATTTATAGGTAATAACCAGCATTTTGAATTGATCAGAAGCTAACTGAAAACTAATACAACTTTATAGCAGAGGGTCTAATGAGGCTTGTTTAACATTGCTCGTGCTGCTGCATTCTTAACCAGCATGTTATAATAATCTAATCACAACATGACCCCATGAGTGACCATGGAGAGAGCCTCTTGATCGAGGAATGGACACAATTGGTACACTAGCTCAACCTGTGCAAAGGCCTTCTGTTACATAACTGCCACCTGCTTGTACATAAGTTCCAAGTACCAGTGTTTCCCCAAAAATAAGACCCTGTCTTCTATTTTTTTTCCCACCAAAAAAGGCACCAGTTCTTATTTTTCGGGGGGGGGGGTGCCATCCACTGACTCACCTTATTTCCACATGTCGCTATCAGAGGCCTTCAGGAACTTCTTCATCCAGCAAGGCTTTCCTGAAGGCCTCTCTAGTGATAACAGAGGCCTTCAGGAAAGCCTTGCCGGCAGAAGAAATAGGCCAAGATATGTGAGGCCTGTCTGCAATTGTCCGAAGGTAAGTAGTAGGGCAGCTCTACCACCTCCATCCCCATCCTAGCTTAATTTTTACCTGTGCACCCGGAGTGGGCGGGGTCTTAATTAGGGCTTATTTTGGGGTACGCTTTTATTGGGCGTACATGTAAAAATCAAGCTAGGACTTACTTTCTGAGTAGGTTCTATTTTTTTGGGAAACACGGTAGGGTAATGTGACCCTTATTCAGAGTTAAAATGGAAAATCCCCAGAACTGGGAGGTCCATATATCCAAAGCCATCTGGTCTTGCTGGGACTGAGTTACATATTAATCTGGAAAGTAGCATTGAATGGCATTAATCAAGGTTTTGCTCTTGGCTCTGTACCGTTGGTAAGAAATATCTTACTGTACATGTCAAGATGGAATGGGATTTTGAAAGTTGAGAAGAATAGGTAGGAACTAGAAAGAAACATATACAAATGAAAAGTTCTACATAAGAAAAAAAGAATCAATAGTTTAAGTTTAGGATTGAGGAGACTATACTAAGGAGAAATTTATGTAAAATGATTTATATATGTTGGTGAATCATAGCTTGAATGAAACCCTCCAGACAAAACAAAACACTAAGTCAATTCTAGGTTTTACCAAGAGTAGTAGTGCAGTATTGCTGTCAAAAGAAGTTGTGATTTCTTTCTAATCTGCATTAGTAAGGACACAACTAAAACACTGCATGCAATTCAGGGCATTACATTTTAAGAATGACGTTAACAAACTGGACCATGTTCAAGGGAGAACAATCAGCAGGATAAAGGGTTTAAAGGGAATTAAACGGGGAAAAAAGAGGAATGGTTGAAGGCTTGGAGAAAAAGCTTATAAGAAGACATAATAGTAATCTTCAAATATGTACAAAGTAGGACAGAATTATTCAGAGCAATTTCAAAAGACAAGGCAAGAAACAATTTAATAAATTAGAAAGAAGCAGAGTAGAACATCTGGAAAATTTGTATATGCTGAACGTGACTCAATACTAGATTTGGGAGATGATAAGAGTCTTACTGGAGATGTTTATATAAAAATGGGGTGGCCCTCTTTCAGAAATGCTGCACTAACAAATTCTCGCACTGGACAGGGAGTTGAACTCGATTATCTCCAAGGTACCTCCTTATCTTCCATTCTACGATTATGACATTTATTGAGAAAAATACCTAGGAAATTCACTTTAATCCAGGATACAAATCACTGAACAGAGGTCATTCATAAATTCTTTAAGTCTTTCGATCTTTTTTTTTTTTTTTTTACAAATCTGTGAATTTTGGCATGTGGTATTTATTTTGATTGTATTTTTCTTGTTTCAATCTAGGCAATTCATTCTTCTTTCAAGATTTGCTGGATGAAATTCAACTCTAACAGGACTGAATTTCATCAATATATTAGTGATCCCAAATTTCCCAAACTACTGCCCCAACCTTCATCACAAAGTATAAACTTTTCACCTCCTCTTAAATTAGAAAAATGATATCTTCTTCCCATAACTTATCTCTTACCTACTTTATAAACAAATTCATTAACCATAGTCATTTCAATTGTGGTGTCAGCAAAAGTTCATTAAGGATTACCAGAGATAATATATTTATTTTAAACTTGATCAAATAAACTAACTTTAAATTCCTTCCTTTTACTTCTAACAATCTTGATTTTTGTTAAAATAATGTCCTAGAATCTTATTTCTTTTCCTTTCTTCTTTGTTCCTTCTCTTGAGACTGTTTAAAGCTTTAGCTACTCTGTTTTGTAAGTCCAATATAGAAAAATTATCCAAGTCACTATCTTGTTTGTATAACCCTTTTAATTATTACAACTTAAGTCAGTTTCTTTTGTATGTCCAGTGTAGCATCTTTTCCATTGTAATTCTTGTAGCCTATCATTTTTAAGTCCACTTTGAATGCTGCCTTTCAGGTAAACCTTGCTCCTCTTCCATTTCATCTTTTAGACACCATCTATTATAGAGGCAGATATCATTGCTCACATTGTTAATATTACTATGATTCCATTTTTCAAAAAATATCCTTCAGTATTTCCAGTTTTGGAATATTTTGCACCATTCTGTAACTGTCAGTCAAATTTATGTGTTCTCTTCTCCTTTAATTGAAATAACTAGTTCCTTCTAATGTCTTTTTTAAAAAAAATAAAAACAAAATCATTTTCCCATGGGAAAGATTCTTTATAATTAATTCCAAAATCTTAAATTCATCTTTCAAAAATCAAAGTTTTAATCAACCCTTTGCTGTTTATTATTTTTTTTTTAAAAAAAGCTTATATGTTAAATTGGTTTTTCATTAAGGGCTGAAGGCAGATTTATACAGTCTTTTCAGATTTGTTGATCCATAGAGTTCTAAAAGCTGAAAAGGAGATAATAAGTAATTTACAAATGTGATTAGAAAAGGAAGTATGCCAATGTAGTGCCCTTTTAAAGGCACCAATCATGGTTTGAGCAAGATTGCTATTTCCTTGTCTCCCAAGCTGAAAATGCAATGGAGACAAGACAGCTGTCTTTCAGGCTTCTCATGAGGAGTAACTATCTGGAGCAATTATGGACAATCTCACATCCTCTTTATGTTTGGAGAGTTTCAAAGAGCTGGTTGATTCCTAGCTCTGTGTTCATTGGTTCCACTTTTTTGCAGAGCTGTGTTCAGTCTGTTGTTTCTTCTTCCAGAAACCCCATTACTTTCTAAAAACAGTTTTTCAGAATATGACCTTTATAGCACACAGCAACAACATAAAACACTTTTAAAGTACGCCATAGTTGTTAGTCCAAAAATCTGCTAAGATAGCCAAAACCAAAATAACACTTCCCATCCCTGTCTGGTATTTATTTCCTGGTATTTTGAAACAGGATTCTAAAGTAGATTTTGTGCCAAATTCAAATGATCAAATTCAATTCATCCAAATAATTAGACTCATTTCAGAAAACTTGAAATTAAAAGCAGAGTATCACCAAAATGATTTTTCTCCTATAATTTGTTGAAGCTAATTAAATAACTAAATGGTAAAAGCTTCAGAAATGTGTAGATTGCACATTTGCACTATTGACAGATTGCAACATCTTATTCATTTAATAAAATTACCTTTCCAAAGATGCTCAGTCTGTTACCATCAATAAATGATTGCTTCAGCAAGTATCTGTAATAGAGAAGGTAGCATATTACAAAAAACAAACAAATTATGCTTGAGCAATGCTTTTTCTGTACGTAAAGAATACATGTGCTTGTCTATTTGTTTGTCTTCTGCCTATCCACCTACTTCACCTACTACCACCTACTATCTGCTGCAATGGAGTACAAATTTCTTCTTGATTGAATTAGACTGCTAAATGGTCACTATCTTCAAAACTGTGAATCCCCTCATATACGACATTAATCAGATGTGGCGTGGAAAGATTTTAAAAACTATTTTGACCCTAGGTAATTGCAACAGCTATCCCAGCATGGGATTCGATTAAAAATATAATAAAACCATAAAGTATTGTAGTACACTGGCTGCGTTTTTATGTTTTATTAAGCTAGAATTGAGTAGCATAAACAGCATGCACTGTCTGAATCTGCTTAGGTCCTCCCTGTAGCAAACATGAAGCAGCTTTTTTGATCTTAGTATTCTCCTGGTGCATTCAACACTCATAATCCCTTAGGACAAAGAATAAGATTACTTGATAAATTAATCCTACTTTTTTTTTTAACACTGCAAATGGTACATTCCCTTCACAACATCTGAAGGCAGGAAGTTACTTTAAAGATCAAACCTGCTAAATGCTTTGCATATATTCTGTCCTCCAAGCAATGTCTTGGAATTAAGAAGGCATAGTAAAAGACTACTTAATATACTGATATGATAAATCCAAACATTAAGTTTGACAAGAAGATGAAGAGAGTGCCTATAGTGCAGAAATGTTTAACCAGTTTTTAAAAAAACATGCAAATATTCAGTTCCTCAATATATCTATATGTTGAAACAGGACCAGATCTAATACACATATTTATTTTTAAAAAATTATTATTATTTTTTTTGCAAAATTTGTCAAAGGACAATAAATCATTTTAAGGCACTAAAATCATGAGCATTTAGTTTTGTGGCAGCAGGACTAACATCATATAGTCGATAATAAGTCATCTATTCATTATATCTATAGGATTTAGAAGTAGTTTATTGTATTTCAATAATATACAACATCTGGAATCCATTCCATATCATGCAATACTTTTCTATTAAAAATGTCAATTAGTGTCTATAGACTAGTTAGACTAAACGTAAAAGCAGATTTGATGCTTTATTGAACTTTATTGTTCTTAAATAGTGCACAAATTCCATTAACCCAATACGGTAGAGATATAAAACACAAAGCTTTTCTATCTGTCATATCAAAAGAAATAATTTTTAAAAATGGATTAAAACTTTGCACATACGTACTCTACGGCTGCTATCTGGTCCTTCACTTCCACTGATCCTAGTGAACGGTGAACCTCTTGCAAAATCTTGAGTCCTTGAAATCCACTCCCTCTTCCATCAAACTGAGCTATGATGACATTATCAGAGTTGACAAGCACAGAATCCCAATCAATGTGAAACTTATCTGTAACCAGCTGACTGCCTGGAACTTCATCACTGTAAATACCAAAATACCAGAGACAAAGAAAATTGATAATACAACACATCTTCAAATTCCTTAATAATTTTTGTAGCCTGAATTATGGAAAAAGAATTAGATAATCCTTCTAAAATACTATTTATTTCACAGTATCACATTAACCTCTGCTTATCCCCTATGGGAACAGTGAAGAAATTTTTTTTTTAAGCTATACAGAAATAAATGGTTGAGGTTTAACATGGCATTAACTAATCTTATAGTTGGAAAATTATAAAACTTTTTTTTGTTTTGTTTTGTTTTTGGTGCTTTGAACAAAGCTCACAAGACTTGAGTCAAAGACCAAGGAATTTAACCTTCAAACAAACACGGCTTTACCTACCTTATAGTAGAAAGGGAATTAATGCAAAAAAAAAAAAGGAATAAAATTGGACTGGATAAAAATAAAACAATTGGAAATAGCATCCAGGGAAGATTCATAATTGGGGAATGTTGCGGGAAAATAAGATAGATAGCAATTTTAATGAAGTTAATTAAGACCTCAGGATCCAATCTGGGTCAATCACTGAACCCAGAGGTGGTGACCGACCCAGATTAGATCCTACAACATTATCCTGGGACATGTAGATTCACCTTCATTCTTAATTAATACCATTTATGCAGGGGTGATATTCACTTATCTTTGCTACCAGTTCACAAAATTGAGATGAATGCACAGAGCATAAAAAACAGGATGTGATGACATCCGGCTGGGTGGGTGGAGCCTCCCATAGCCACTGCTACCGGTTCGCCCAAACTGGATAGAACCGGCTGAATACCACCACTGCATTTATGTCCTATGATGTTTTCAGATAAGCTACCGTTTGAACAGTCATATTTTGTTTTATATTATCACATGGATGGTCAAGCAAGCAAAGAAAAAGAAGTCTGCTCATAATCTATTTAAGATGGCACGCTGATTAGTAAACCAATTGTTTATGTTCTCAGAAGTACTGCATATGTGATGTAAAATCAGCATTGGGCTAAATATTAATGATGTATGCAGTTCCCTTGCTGGATCCTGATATCTCATATAAGTGCATGATATATGAATAATCATTGCATAGCATCTTCTGTACAAGATTCATAGTCTACAGGCAATGCCTCAAGGATTCTTCAAATATTCTATAACTCTCTCACACAAAGTCATCCTTAAATTTTGTTCATCATACATGACTAAATTGGGACAGAGGATTTCAGAGAGGAAGAGACTTAAAATGGAGACAAAATTAGCGCAAATGTATTCTTTTCCTTTAGAAAGACTCAATGCTAAATTGTTGGGGTTCAAATTAATATTTTTAAATGAACATCTGAGTCTAAAGAGTTGTAATATTTAATATTCAGGGACACATTTAATTTTGTAGCTGGGAATGATGTTCAGGTTCTTTTTCAACACTGTTGTTAATAGCATTTCCTTCTTTGCCCAAAGACAATGAAACATCAGTTTTGAGAAAGAAGAGTTATTATTTTTCTCTAAACAATAAATATCAGAGCAGCAGAGAAATCTAAGAAATAATAGCATAAAATAACTCATTCCAGTAGAATTAAAATAAATGTTAAATTCTTTGTGCATTATAAGGACATTTCCTGTAAGGTATGGCTGTCAAACTTGATCGCGTCACGTGATGTATCATGACGTATCATGATATTTTTGTCTTTGCGGAACTGGGGTGGGCATGGCCTGCATGTGATGCATCTGGCCTGTGGGCCATCAGTTTGACACCCCTGCTGTAAGGAAAGTAATTATGAAAACAATGGATGGAAGCACAAAGAGAAATAAAGATTGAGGTTGATGCATATAAAGCAACTCCCATTCAAGTACTATTATTTGGGGACATTTTGAACTACTATGATTAGTGGACATAATTTGTCAGCTCTCCTTGTCATTTTACAAGACAAATGCAGGTAGTCCACAACTTACAACAGTTCATTTAGTGACTGTTTCAAAGTTACAACAGCACTGAAAAAAACTGACTTATGGCCATTTTTCACATTTACGACCATTGCAGCATGTCCATAGTCACATGATCAAAATTTAGATGCTTGGAAACTGACTCATATTTATGGCAGTTGCAGTGTTACCTTTTGCAACCTTCTAACAAGCAAAGTCAATATGGAAGACAGATTCATTTAACAACAATTTGCTAACTTCACAATGGCAGTTATTCACTTAACAACTGTGGCATGAAATCTTGTAAAATGGGGCAAAAGTCACTTAACAAACATTTCACTTAGAAACAAAAATTTTGGGTTCAATTGTGGTCATAAATTAAGGACTGTCTGTATCTTACTTTTTCTCATTTATTGATTTACTGTAGCAGGATTTCAATGCTACCCGAATTATAGAACTCACAAAAATAAAACACTACAAAATCACAAAATGTGAAAAGGCTTAAAAGAAAATTGATAACAAAAAAATTGGGCAATTATAAACTGAAAGCCTAGTTAAAGAAAATTGTTTTTAGTCTCTTTCCTGTGTATCAACAAGTAGAACACTATCCTGGTATTGCTTTTTTAAACATTTTTATTGAATTATAAAGTATCATAAAATACAAAATACAAAGTAAATAGAAAAGCAGTTGGGGGTTGGGGGAAGGAAGGAAAGGAGGTGAGGAAAGATAAGAAAAGAAAAAGAAGCACTGACTTCCGACTCTCTCTGTTACAGTAAAACAAGGCACTAACATCAAATCACAACTTTTTGCTTTTTCATGAAACAAGGCATTTCTATAAAGATCTATCAGTCTGATCAGTAAAACCCAAAGTCAAATTTTTATCCTTTTCCACATCAAGCATGAAGTTCAGAAGCGAAACACTATCCTGGTATTGAGGGATAGTTAATGTTACAACAGCCACACACAAAAAAGATACATTTAACTGAAGGTAAACATATGCGACACATCTTCAAGATGCAAACATGTAGGTTAGATGATAAGCAATATTTTATCCGGCAAATATATAGTGTAATAATTGATAAAGAACTGTTATTTTACTGAATTCATGAGTACATGGGCCAGCATGTTCACTACCAATTTAACCTTCGAAATCACTTTCAAAGACAAGAAAAAAGAATTGTAGTAGCCAAAAAACTGAGATCCAAGGACAGTTGTATCTTGTATACTGTCAAAACTGGATGAAGTAACCATGTCCACAACCTCCATTGTCTGAAAAAGAGCTATGAGGCCAAACAACCTCCAGGTGAGGGATTTGCTCATTGAGAGAGAGTTCAATCCTATCCAGAGCCAAATCTTCTAATAAATCTGATGGTTCCAGAACAAACAGTATGATCTATCTCAGGATTTCTATCTAAGCCTGCTTCAAACTTTCAAAGCCTCTATATACCAGTTCAGTGCATCCATTACATTTACTGAAGCTAAAGATGTAAAATTGGATATCATCAACATACTGAATCCCTATCTTGTGATGGTGGATTAATTCTTCCAGTGGTTTCATCTAATTGTTAAATAAGACAGATATCTGATATACAGGATAGCAAATTTCTTAAATGAAATATTTTAAAATATCACTAAAAAATGAATTTGTGATTATAAGTGTAGTTTGAGAGCATAATCTCTAACCAAAACCAGAGTCTATACAAATAATATAAATTAACTCCCAATGATTTCAGGAAAGCTTAGTCCTAATATGACAAAGTTTCCCCACAAAGCTGACATTTACCAAGTCTGTGCCTGAAGATACTAATTATGCATGCTTTATGAACTTATAGTGAGAAAAGGATTTAGTATAATTCAACTCTGCCCAAGCCAGTGTAGTTTTTAAACAAAGAAAAGATAGCAATTACAGAGCAAAATGATGGATTTTAATTGGTACTCTCTAGGTTTCTAACAGTGCAGTCCCACATTCCTTAGCTATAAAGGAAAAATGAGACAGCAGTACTTGAGTTGTTAAACTTTCAAAATAAACTTTTATTTTGATATTGGAAGTCATAAGACACTATCATCATTTCTCCTTTGGTTTCAGAGGACAATGTATTTTGCCCTAGGCAACAAGTATTGCCTATTATTAGTCCTGCATCACATTCTTTCCTTTGTGACTATCAAGACTGATGGACAAATATACGAATATATGTATGTTTTCAGCAGAAGGAAAACAATCAAAAGAATAATCTTATAAATCCTAGAATAATATACAATTAATGAGTAATATTTAATCTAGAATTTAAAGAATATGGGAAAGGTTGGTCACAGTAATCTCACAGTAATGATATTAAGAAGGAAAATAAAAGATTTGAAAACTGGAATTTGCAACTAAGGAGAAAGATAATTCTTAAACAAGCATAGTATCCCTCCCACTCTCTACACTATACTGTATGTTACCATGTATATAATATAGTTTGGAAAAGGTGAATTTTAAGCAGATTAATATATGGGTAGATGGAAAAATTAGGTACTTAGTATTATATTACTAAATGATACTTTCAAAAGTCATCTTTCAATGCAACCACATCAAACAGCACAAACAAATTTTAGGTTATACTAACCCAACAAGTCAATTTGATGCCAGTGAAAGGAAAATTAAGATTCTAGCCAGTAAAACTGTTTGCAACACAGACTTCATGGAGTAGGATCTCTGCCTTAATTGTTACTCAACATCAGACTTACAGATTTATTGTAATAATCAGGGTGAATAAAAATCAATGGTTTTTTTAAAAAAATCAAAAAAATCAGATTTTTTTTAATTTAAATCGGATTTTTTTATTTTTATTGAATTTATTTTAATAAAAAACTTTTGGGGTAAAAATCTATCGTAAAGTAGTTTTCTATTTAAGATACATAAATAATTTAGTTTATTCAGCATGAAATGGAGTTTAGTTATGTAGCATGAGGTTGTATATTCTGCAACACTGGGATTATCGGTGAGTCAACAGTGGGTCAAAGGAGTAGCAGAGATGACAGTTGCTTTTTAAAAATTATGATTTAAATCGAGTTGATTTAAATCAAGCCTTTTTACTAGTGATTTAAATCATGATTTAAATTGTGATTTAAATCAACTCGATTTAAATCAAATCCACCCTGGTAATAATTATGACTAAATTGACTCCATCCTCATTTGCTTACTGATTATCAATCCAGTGCTATATGTTCTGAAGGAATGTCTGGAAGTTGAGTCATGGCGACTGAACTTATTTTTTTGTTAATTTGAGATGTTGTGCTGCCTGTCCAAGCAGCTTTTTCAGTCTGAACAAGTTGGTTAGGGCAATCTGAATTGGCCAAAGAGTTGGAAAGTGCCAACTCCTAAAATTCTTAGGGATATTCCCGTACCAACCTCAGATTCTACTTGTATTCTACTCTACTCAGATTCCCCTAACCAACTTGTTCAGACTGAAGAAGCTGCTTGGCTGGGCAGTGAAATGTCTCAAGCCAACAAGAAAATAAGTTGTTCCCATTACTCAACTTCCAGACAACTCTGCCTGGATGACTGAGAATCTTCAACCCAAAGGTGCTTTTTCAAATGACAGACATTTCACTTCTCATCCAAAAAGCTTCTTTAGTTCAATAGGCTACAAAAGAAGCTTTTTGGATGAAATGTCTTCAAGGAAAAAACAAAGTCCAGTTTTGAAAAAGCATCATTGGGACAACCATGACCTGGATCACTGAGAATCTCCATAGAGAATCTTCATCAACACATTCTGAAGGAACCTTTCCAGTCTTACCTTTTTTAAATTAGTTATCAATTGTTCTTGATTTGTATTTAATAATGTGGCATGCATAATATAATTTTTTTTTCTGGAATTTTTTTTAAAATTTTTTTAAACATAGACATAAAAAAAAAATCTTTCAAGAATGAAGTCTTGGTCCGGTCACAAATAGGTAGACTAATTTTACAAATAAAAACAAATATTTTTAACATAAATTCCAACATCCTAATTTAAGTCTTTCCATTATATCGCCATAAACCTTAATTTCCTACCAAACATTGCTCATTTTTATATTCAATTATAAATCAAAATTCAATACAGCTCTTTCTAAATTTTTCTCCATTGCTCTTTTTAACATCAATATTAAAACACAAAAATGATCTAATCTAAATTCAATCTCAATTGTTACTTCAATCTGTGCACCTTATTGTATCATATATAATTATTAACAGTTAATCATAGTTATCCTTCACCACTTTGTTGACAAATTAAAACATGTTACATCAAATTATGCTTTTATAAAAATATCACTTTTAATCACCTTAACTTCCAACTTTTATTTTAGTTATCTTCTTTTATTTTCTATCTTTATTACACCATAGGCACCTCTTGTTTTTATTTAAAACTCATTTAACCATTTAACCATTTAGACAATTAGACATTTAAACATGGCCTTTTATCTATTTTATTTCTTCATTTCCTTATCTGTCCATAAGTATTTCAATTCATAGTCAATACTTCCATGCTTAAAACTCTGTATATCATTTTTAATTCTGTTGTAAAGTCTGTTTCCTGTAAAGTCCATCAGCTCCACTTTTGTTCCTGTGCCAGACTTTTTGTTGCTATGCCAATTAGCTAAAAGTTTATTAGTTCTGATGTATTTCTTCTTTCTTTGTAAAACCATCAGTAGACAGATTAGGAATCTCCAAAATTCAAAAGTCCATAGTTATTTTCAATGTAATCCAAAATAAATAGTGAGTCAAAATGGTTCTTTTTCAGGAGAGAACAAATTTCTACAGTCCACACTTTCACTTAGTCACAGATTCAATCGCCATTTTGAAGCAATTATGTAGCTATCTGTTTGATCTCTTTGTCTGGCTTTTAAAGGTGCCAAGTCCTTAATTATCGCTTTTCTCTTTTCCAAAAATCAGATCTGTTTCAATTTAACAAAAGAAATTCAAATATCCAGTTCTAATTAGTTAATAGTCAGTTCATTCCAATCAATCAGTGCTGAAATAGATTTCTTAAAGGGTCTTTACAAAATCTTCAAGCTCCACAGATCTTCAGCCATTAATTAAAGCTGGGGGTCTTATTTGTAATCGTTGTAATCATTGTTTCTCGCCTGGGTTGGTGTCACTCACCCGGCTTCAAAGCACATCACCCTTTCTTCCTTCCTCCTGCACATTTCTTGTCCCATTTTGTTCCAGCTTCGTGGCAGCCACCATGGCTGCCGTCCCCCACCGCCAACTCAGAGGGTTTCCTCCGGCCTTCGAAGAACTTGCCTGTTCCTCTCGGATGCCCAAAGGGTCCCTCTCTTTCCGCTGTCCCTACAGGACAGGATCGGTCCACAGACCTGTCGGCGGCAGTTTGCCAGTCGGGGTTTTCACAGGGCTCATCAGAGCCCACTATTTCCCTGACTGCATCGCCACAATGCCAAACTGGAAGCCCGGATAATATAATTTTTCAATTAAACTTTTTGTGAATATTAT